ACCGCGTGCGTACACGCGGCGGAGTGTGCGCGCACTCACACAACTACAGGGGGGTTCAACGTACCAATCGCCAACTACGCGAGTTCCTTGTTCCACTTTACCACTGACACTATATTATTATCGTTCCATTGGAGTTTCCGACTTGGGCAATGCTTTTTTACAAAAAATAATCCTTATTTTTTACATTAATAGCCACAAAAACTAGTCACGGCTCCGTTCGATTTGAGATTGATGTAAAAGATTTAGAGTTTTTGATACTGTACAATCTTAAATAGAATTTGGCTTTATAATTACCAATTGCCTACTTAAAGCTAAAGAACTCAAAAATAGGTACCTCTAAATTAGGTTTATGATTAATATTATTAGCATACAAGTAAGACTTCTTATATTATAAAATCCTGAAAATCTTACTGCGGAACAAAAGGAACGAAGTAAAATGGAGAAACATAATTCAGTAATTTTTATTCACCCTTATAAACGAAACAAAGCATTTGGCGATTAAAATGTTTCTAAATTAATTCTATATTATTATGATAATTACATGTAAATTAAACTTATTTACGAAATTAATAAAATCATTCAGTAGCTTAACAACAGCACTGCGGAAACCGAAAATGGCGTAATGATAAGTTACTTTAACGTTTCGTAAATACTTAGCTCATGTATCAAGTCTTGCTTAAAGTTAAAAGTAAGTGACACACTAAAATTAAGAACCAGATCAGTAATCTCGCACACAATTGGGTTCAATTCGAGATCGAAATCTTGTCGAGTATTTCATTTTTGTTCCAATAACCTGTTTGGGTTTACTTAACAAATGACGTATGTTATAAAGGAAATCGATAACAAGCGAAATGACAGGTGTCATTGAAATTTTAAATGTAAAATATTAACAAAGACAATGATATTAACTACGACTTGCTATTTATAACACGTAAGTATAACTCTAAAAAGCTATGTAATTTTAAGCTTAAACGCTGCCTGTGATTATGTACCCAACGCATAAATGAGATGTCATTTGTTGGTGGCACTAAACAAGCGTCGTGGAAATAAGCTCGCAAACAACAACTGTTATTAAAATAAAAGTCAGTTAACAAGGCACAAAGGCGTAAATGACGCGTCTAAAGCCAAATGTCAAACCCCAAGATTTATGGTGAGTAAACTTGAATACCACCGGCGAAAACCCTTTATTTTAACCATTATGCTGATGGACATAAGAGCGTACAGGAGGGGCACGGCGCTTGGCCCATACAAAAGACATCAACGCGTGGGTTTCGATTCACTATGAGTAGCTCCCTCCGTATAGGTAAGTAGACTGCTAGGAAATCATTCTATGGTGTGTACGGTGTGTATCAAACTCAAAGTTACGTCAATTCCTTTAATGCGATTAATTTACATAAAAATTTTAATTACCACAGGGAAATAGGTAGAGCATGGTGTGGACAGGTTTTAAGAAACATCTTTGCAGGAAAACTAAATTGTAAATTATGGAAATAAGATTGAGTTGAATCAACTATATTTGAGATCGGTGACACGTGATTTTGACTCGCGAATCATAAATGTGTTTAGATCTCTTCCACAAAACGTGATGATGTTCGTCAAGCTGTGACTAAATAGGCTTCCTTTATTCTTACTGCACTGATCGTTACATCGTTATCCAACATTTGTTATTAGAAAAAAATTACAATAAAACATTCCCAGTCATTGCCGTAAAATTATTCTACCAAGCTTCTTCACTCAGAAACATTTCGTGGTGGGCACATATTTGCTTTGTGACTGAACAAATAATAATATTATTTTCCAATATAATCCAGTCATGGGCGTGCTCATTCAACAGAGCTCCGGCGGCTAACACTCGCACATTACACAAACAGGTTCCGCTGCATGCCACGCCAATAAAAACACCTAACCTAACCAATGTGATTTTGACAAAGTTTTTTTTCTCTTTTTATCAGACGTCTATTTAAAGTTTCAAGCGCATACAGGTTTTGTGTTAGCATAATTAACATTTTTGAAAACCAGTTGACCTCTTTAATGTGGATAGATTAAATGGTTTTTCCTATTGTTCCGTGTATCTTAATGGAAATAAATTATGTTTAGTAAACTGAACATTAGAATTAAATATTTTATATCAAATGTATTAAACTGTGACACACGTGCGTATCATGCTTGAGCAGAAATAAAAAATCCCCTGCACATACATATTAAATTAAGATTAAATGGATTGAGAGCGGTTTGTTGGTCTGTTTTTGAGTCACACGAAGAAAGTGACAAGCATGTGTGAATTAATTCGCTAAATGGCCAACTTATAAAATATCACGCTACACACTTTATTGATTATTTATTCAAAATTAATCGATTCAAAACATATAATTTAATGTGCCATTTTTAATTATATCAAAATAAATGGAAAAGATAATGAAACCTAAAGACCGGGTTGCACAAAAAATCATGAGTAAGAATGTAGGTACTTATTTATGTGATATTTCTCAACACACAGCTTTTTTGTCATTTAGAAAGAAGCATTTCATCTTTCAGGTTCTCGTTTTGTACAAAATTGAATGTATCAGCGGGGTTGCTATTGTAAAGTGACACGGAAAATATTAACAAAATAACAGAACTGCAATTTCGGTATTTGTCGAGTAAAATGGGTGATAACTTCCGTTTTACATGTATTTTACCATTTTTACCAATCGGCTGCGACGTCGATATACCATCAACATTTACTTTGCATCGCATTTATCCAAGGCTCTCTGTAATGATATACAATTACACTGCAACTGAAGGAGCTAGTTAAATTTACATATGACAGCTTATTTTTATGTCGTGCCATGCATGCCAGCTTCGACATGCCACTCAAAATTTTAATTCAAGCTTGTGCGGAAACATGACAACTAGGTACTTGTTTCACTGATGGCTTATTTTAAGTGTAAATTGCTAAAAGGAGCCTTTGCAACACACATCATTTTAAATGTATGACACATATTTGTAAATTCAATCCAAATATGATTCAGGTTCAGGATGTTTTAAAATTTATGAAATGCCACCACTATTTTTCAATTAATCGATACTTTTTTTTATTTTGTGCAGCTCTTATTTAAATTATAAGAGCCAACAAGTATAATTAATTTCCTAGCGTCGGAAAAAAATAAGTTTTTGCTGTACTTTTGTGTCGTGAACTTATAAAAGGGAAATATAGTCACTAATGTCACAGAAGTAGGCACTGTATTCGAATGAACTGCAGAAACTCAATACACGTGGAGTGAGGCAGGTTAGTGCGCCGGCGCCGACGCGGAAACAGACGGAGGCCGAACTTTAGGGTTGCTCTACAATCAAGATTTTTAAAAATTTAATCCATAAATTCAGTCGTAACTGATCAGTCATTATTTATTTATTGAGCAATACTATCGATATATATATATACTTGCTGTACGTCGATTGATTACTTATTTGAATAATGAATATTAAAAAATCTTATTTAATTAAAATTGCAAAGAGATCTTCTTAAGAAATATTGAAAAAGTCTCTCATAAGATAATTTTTAATCATAAGTCTTTGCTTCCTACTTTGGTATTTCAATTTCCAATATGTATGTATGTACACAGTTGGTTTACCGTTTACCCATATTGGTTTTAATTTCTGTATTGAAAGCTACTGCAGTAGAGCAATATCGCAACCGTATGACAACCCTACCGACCTGCATGTGGTATGTGTTACCTTCAAGCAAATATAAACTCGAGCAAACGATAAGCGTTTACCGTCGCTGTATGAACTTATTGACAAATAAATTGCATTACGCATGCATGGATAAAACTGTTTCAAAAATTTTAACTATACTTCCTCATATTTTGAGAAAGGTCTATGCCCTGACTGAAGTACATTGGGGAGGTTAAAAGGATTTGAAAGCATTATTTAGTAAGATTTGTATAAAATATTGTGAAGAGTCTAAAACAACACTGCGACTACAAACTAAGGTACACCAGGCTCTCTTGAAACGAAGAAGTTCTATTACTAAATCAAGTTTGGGAAGTTATTTTTAACTACATTATTTTAAAGGTTAAAATGAATTCTTTTTTTTATCCACGGGAAACAATTTGTTAACCTGATTCTGCTACACAATTCTAATATATAATTTAGATGCTTTGTTGAGACAATAGCGATCGATCAATGTTATCATTTTTCATCGCTGCCTCACATTAAAGTTCGCGCGGCACCCTTGACTTTTGCCTGGCGTTTACATGAATTCATGGCCGGCGTTATCTTCATAATCTGCGATATTATGACAGAGGTTGCGGTCTATCTCATCCGCAAAAGGCTTCGACTCAGACGCAGCGTGCGTGAGTTGTCCGTCACCACAACTGTGTTGCCAGTGATTGACAACTAAATCATCCCGAATAGACAATCGAGCATGCTGCCATTGCATAACGTCTAATAAGATATTTCCATCGGATATTCCACATCCTTCATATGTTTCTTAGAAACACGTTTAATTGTGTGACACATTACATTGTACAATCGATTGCATATTTTACTTAATTGGACGCATGTAGTATCCATGCTTACATCACGACCATGGTTTCTTTTATGTCTATAAAATATTTATAACAAATAAATACCTATCTATGATAATGTTAATTTAAGACAATTAAGATATTAAAATCAGCCGGAAGCCGTACGAAATAATAACTGAGAAAAAAACGAATGCAAAATAATTTCGCGGTAGGTTCAGTTATACAATAATGGGTGATTGCGGGTCGGCCGCGGGCCAGTGGGCTGTAAACCGCGAAGCCCCACGGTAACTGGTCCTTGCTCACCAGCTTACACCACCCTGCTACCACAAAATGGACTGACATAGTTCTCATATGTTTTATTTTGGTCACTAAAAATAACAGCTACAAATAGTAGAGGATTTCTATAACTTAATAAAAAAAAAGTAATCACCAGAAAAGTGCGTGTTTATGCAAATTTTTTATGTTGATTTTTATAACGTAACTTGATCTTACCCTTTATCTCGCGTCACGCCCAAAGCACCAAACCGGACGTCTATCTGCAACGAATACATTTAAATAATTAGCCAAATGAAACCATTAAAATGTCGTAAACCACTTGGTAACATATTGGCATTGACGGACCATAGATGAACACTGACGAAAATATTAAATGTTTATTTTATTTGCCTACTGTTATCACGTGTGCTGTGTGTGTGATGTTGGGCGGGCTTATTTTAGATGACTTTGACATTAAAGATACAAAACATATCGTAAAAGAAACCGACCATAATTCCAATGCACTTATTAGTAAAATACTCGTAACTAAACGAGTATTTTAGTATTATAAAAGGAGTTTCCAAGTACAATTTTGGGATGCGAGGCGTTGATCCGATGCGGGATCGAGAGCAAATTGGTTTTTATTATCGAAAACATCAGTATCGAGAATTTCAGTGGAAGTAAACGAGGGCCGCTTTCTACTCGTGGTTATTGGCCATAATCGGACCTCGAGATGACTTGCCCGATTTTTAAGGAGACTAATAACGAGTATGGCCAGAGAGCATCAGAAACCGATGTCGCGACGCAAGACTTTACTGCAAAAGGGCACCTATTTGGTGAAACTTTGGAAATCTTACTCTTTTCACATAATTTTACATAAAAAATATAAAACTTCATATGTCTTAAAGTTCCAAATTCCAATACAACTTTGGTCTCTGTACAGGCCACAAAGAGGAAAGTGAACAACTGTAAAACACTATTTGTAACCAATTGTGTTGAGATCACAATGACTAAAGATATTTGAAAGATTAGAGAGTACTCGTAATAATGCTCTAACCAATGATGACTTGCGTTTTGCAAATTAGTGGCACACAATCGCTTTAATATCTTTCCGAAGTGTAAAATTAATTTGCTTTAGTAATAACATCTAAGTCCGTGTACTTTAAGTGTTATTATAGTATATTACGAACATAGGTGCAGTTGCTCGATAATAAGGCGGTTGTGTAATGATAATGAACAAATAAAGTGTCTCAACAAAACAGCAAATAAATAGTCCGGATGCAGTGTTGTATGAGATTTTATCATCCATCTCTTAAATTGAAACCTGCAATAGATTAATTTAAGACAGAATATTTCAACATACCTTGATGTAATAAAGCCTACTTAAGGCTTTATATACAGTTTAACAGATACAACTTACATCATTATTGTAAATGTACTCGTAAGTATGTAATCTAGCTTGGTTAATGAACTGCAAATGTATATTGCGGAGAAATCTATAATAAGTGTACTTAAGTTTCACGACTACACTGAGATGGACAAGAGATCGTACGCGGTAACGCGATCTCTACACTGTGTGAACAGACCGAAAAATAAAAAACAGCTAAAATTGCACCCGCAACACCAATATTCTTTTTACAAGACATATTTGAACTTGGGAAGCTAAACACAATCGTTTTGATTTCCAATTGAATTAGAAGTACACAGAGAAAGCAGTAGTTGTAACTGTATTAACATAGTGCTCTCTGGACAATATACCACAACGCTACCGTGACTTTATGTAAACTATTTTAACATTTTCACCGCGAGGTTCACGAACAAGACATTAAAATAATTTTCTAGTTTCTACTTGACAGCAACACCGATTTTATACTTGTATATTATTATTATTCTATTATACTGTTTGCTAAATACATGTCATGTTGTTTGAATGTACTTTGCATATACACAATCTAATATGCTCCATATACCTACATACATGTTTGGAGTGCTAATTAAACATGCATTGCAAACTAGACATAACTTATTTTTCTGAGACTAATAATTTACCATAGTTTTATATTATAAACTAGCTGACCCGGCGAACTTTGTTCCGCCTTAATGGCAATAAATAAGCAGATTTTTTTATTATTTCGAACGGGATAAAAAGTATCCTATGTCCTTCTCCTGGCTCTAAACTACCTCCCTGACAATTTTCAGCTAAATCGGTTCAGCCGTTCTTGAGTTATAAGTGGAGTAACTAACACTACTTTCTTTTATATACAGTGTGTCCGGGCATGTAGTGATCAAACTTTAAGGGCGTAATTNAAGCGTATAAATTTTGACGTATTTTAGGCAATTCGCATTTCAGGATTAGTTTGGTTCTTTTAGTTCTTTTTTGCCACCTTAAACCCCTCCAGCTACGCTAAATATAAATGCTTGTATGTATGCGGGCAGAAATTGAAATGATGAATTTTAATTTCTGTGACGGGTCTGGGTGTGACTATGTATAATATTTATGTATTAAAAAAAAGTATATAAGTAGTATATCCGTTAAGCTAGCACCCATAACACAAGCATTAAGTTGCTTACTTTGGGGCTAGCTGGTGCTGTGTGAAATTGTCCAAAGATTTATTTATTTATTTATTTATTATTATGAATGAGTTTACCACAATATCCAGCAGACGAAGGAGTTCGCATTCTTCGAATCTCGAATTGACCAGTCTGACACTGTCACCTTTGGGATATTGTAGCTGTATAGTTTTAATGGGCTATATTATGCATGATATATGGTTCTCTTTCTACTCCAATCATTCCAAGTCACCCCAAACGCGAGCAGCCTTTTTTACCCAGGAAAATCCTATCCATACCTACCGCTGGGGGACGGTAGGTTATGTCGGGCTCGAACCCACTAAAAAAAGTTGGGGTGTTCCCTCTGCCGCATATTGGTCGCCACCTTGGGTACTAGAAACTACCAAGGCGCCTTCCGCGAACGACGCGGACGTCCTGCCCTACACGGCCACTTAATGGGGGGTCGACAGTCCAGAGTGCTGCAGGCTGCTAACAGCGATTTTGGAGATTGGTGGATTCAGGCTCGTCACCTCGCACCTACATTCCATAATATGCACATGCAGTGGTATTTTGAGGACAAAACTGGGGATTTTGAACAAAACTTTCAGCCAAACTGTTATCAAAACGGCTATTCTTTTATTCAAATTTCATACCATGTTCCAGGACTGCACGTAATGCATACGAATGTAACAATAAATCAACTGCTCCAAGATCTAGGGTCGTGTTGCTTTGGATCCGCGAATCTTGTCAAGTCGCCATGATTTAGAGCGCAGATCTGATCTCCATATTGCCAATATTTGTATGAAATATTTAGCAACAATGTTTTATCGATGAATCGTTTTCCAAATTTATTGGACAGCAAATTTTGTATTTCAGTGCTCTTATCATTTTGCATAGATCTAGGTAAATTTAAAACAAAGCAATAGAAGACAGAATCACTGTATGTAGTTTATTGAAGTAAAATTTGTGCAAAAACAACCTTTTTAACTAACGCACGAATTACCTATCGAAGCAGAGCTTATTTATCACAAATACCTACCTATAACGAATAAACATACGCCCGTATTCACAAACATTACTATGAGGTCTCCCAGTGCGCGTGGACGCACAGGGTGACACACTAACCAATCACAGAGCTCCATTCAACGCTATGCGTTCGATTTGCTGATTCACTTAAGCAAGCATTGTTTGTGAATACTGGCGATAATATTCACAGTTGCTACGGGTATTCTTCCATGCCTAATTTTCCTTAATTGATTGAAAACCATTAGTGCAAATTAACATAACTTTTCTTAAGCTCAAGAAATCTGAGTCAACCAGATGTCCCTCGCTAATGTAATTACCAACATTTAAACTTGGACCGTAAGATTGTATCTAAGATGGTCAGCAATTACCTGCCTACCTTCGTATGTGTGAGAGACCCCTTTTAATCTAATATAGGGCTCCCTATCGGCCAATACCATCGCCCTACCTTTGACTACCGAAGGCGTCCATTTCGCTTCATTTTGGCCCTGAATTATCGGGGCCATTCGTAGGTCTTTATTGGGTTGACCTCGGCGTTCGTATGTTTCAATTCGTGGGAATATTTTCCCAACAACTGGCAAACTTTTCCCAATCCCCGCCGTCTTCGCTGCGTAATATTTTAATGCTTACATTGCCTGGTTTGTCGCCGCCCGCGAGTAGCAATTTTGCTCTCCACAATTCACAAAACTGACGTTTTGAATATTGGCACAGTAGAAATAGTTAAGAATATTTCAATTTGTATGTATTATATTGTTGTTTAACTCAGGACGATCGAGTACAATCATGATTCTCAGTAAACTTAGAAACAACGACTGTATTATTGAAGTCGTTGATCCTTTTTAGCAGATGGCTGACTTTCTCTACGTTTGCCAAGACTTGATTTCCTAAGAACTCGTTTTGCTGGCTATACCTCAAGTATGCTTACCCAGCATGCATAGACGGATTAAACCTTTAATTACTGTCATCATCATCATTAACACATCATTTAGTATCCATTGTAAAGGCTCATGCCTTTATTATTTCCTACCAGATAGAAGGTAATGGAGGATTTGGCCCATCCCCATACTGCTGGCCTGATAGGTACTGGTTTTCTGATCCTTCCTTTTTTTTCGTCAGGATAAGCATAAAATTGCATACCCACTGACCCGGGGGGACCAGCCGGTTATGTGAGGCTCTCCCTGCCAGATGGGCAGGGCCTACTCACTAAAACCTGACGGTGTCCTCCCAAAGTCTTTGGGACGGAACTGCGAGTTATTGTCCGAGCTAGTCGGCCTAGACATTCTTTCGCAGCTCCGCCCCAGACTGTGGCTCGCTCTGTTTGAGCAAGCGACGACTGGCTTTCTGAACCTTCCTACCTTATGTCACTATTCCCAATAAGCACACGTGGGATTACCTGTACCTTATTGAATGCCTTTTGGGCGCCGTTGGGAGTACGCGATATTACTCGTAGTCTATTCGAAGAGAACAAATAACGGGTAATGTAATGTAAAATGTATTGACTGAAAACTTGCTTCATAAAAGGTATTCTTAAAACAGATTTCTATATTTTGAATGATAAATTGCTTATTCACGTACGAGTATGTAGAGACGAATTTGACAAAATTGAAAGTTGAAAAGAAGAGGTGGTCATTATCATCATCATCTCAGCCACAGGACGTCCACTGCTGAAAATGGGCCTCCCCCAATGCTTTCCATGTTGCCCGGTTGG